AGATTGGGATTGCATTAAATCTATAGCTCCATTAGGAGAGAATTAACTTCTTAACAATATTGAGTCTTCCAACCCATGAACACAATGTATCTCTCTATTTTTTCAATTCTTTATTAATTTTCTCTGAATGTTTTGTAGTTTTCAGTGTATGTATCTCTTTTGTCAGATTTATCCCAAGTATTTAATATTTTTGATGCTATTGCAAATGGTATTTTAATATTTCAGTTTCCAGTTGTTTATTACTGCCATATATAAATTGATCTCTAGCTATTAATCTAGTATCAAACAACCTTGTTAAACTCAGTTATTAGTTCTAGTTGCTTTTTTGTGGATTCCATTAGATTTTCTACATAATCATGTAATCTGCAAAAAAATGACAGTTTGATTTCTTTCCAATCTGGGTATCTTTTATTTCTTTTTCTTGCATTTTTGGAATGATCAGAGGGAACATCCTTGTCTAGTTCCAATCTTGGAAGATATTTAGTCTCTTAATGTTAGGAATGTGTTAGCTGTAGGTTTTTCCTAGACACCTTTTTCTTTTTTTTTATAAAACTGAGGCTATCATTTTCAGCTTATATTTTGCTGAACATTTTTATCAGCAATGGATTTTAGAGTTTGTTAAATGCTTTGTGTCTACTGAGAGAATCACATAGTTTTTCTTTTTAGTTTGTTAATACGGTGAATTATATTCATAGATTAATTTTTTGTTAACCAACCTTGCATTCCTGGGCTAAATCCCAGTTATTCATGGTATAAAATCCTTTTTGTATGTTTCTGGATACCATTTTCTAATATGTTTCTCTAATATTTTGTTTAGGAATTTTGATTCAATGTTCATAAAGAATATTGGTCTTCAATTTTTTTTCTCATAATACCTTTATCTGTTTTTGGTATCAGGGTAATCCTGGCTTCATAGAACTAACTGGGAATTATTCTGTCCTATTTTAATTTTCAGGGAGAATTTGCGTAGAATTGATATTTCTTCCTTGAATGTTTGGTAGAATTCACCAGTGCAGCCAACTGGACCTGGAGCTTTCCCTGTGGAAAAGTTGTTAGCTACAGATTCTATTTCTTTAAAGGATATAGGGCTATTCACATTATCTATTACTTCTTGAATGAGTTTTGGTACTTTATATCTTTCAAGAAATTTGTTCATTCTTTCAAGTTTTCTAATTTACCAATGTAATGTTTCTTTATTGTCCTTTTTATATTTGTAGAAACTGTAGTTAGTCCACCTCTTTTGTTCCAGACATTGATCAATTTGTGTCTTCTCTCTTTCTTTGCTGATCAGTCATGCTAGAGGTTTATCAATCTTGTGGATCTTGAAGAAGCAGCTTTTGGTTTCACTGATTTTTCTCTATTGTTTTTTTAAATTTTCCATTTCATTAATTTCTGCTTTTATATTAATTATTTCCTTTCTGCTATTTAGTCTTCAATTTTCTCATCTTTTTCTAATTTATTAAGGTGGAAGCTGAGGTAATTGACTTGAGACCTCTGTTATTTTCTGACATAGGAATTTAATGATATAAATTCCCCCCTAAGTACTTCTTTAGGGGCATCTCACTAATTTGGATATGTTATGTTTTCATTTTCATTCACTTAAAAACACTTTCTAATTTCCATTTTGATTTCTTCTTTGACCCTAAGTTAGTTGGATCTGTGTTGTTGAGTTTCAAAATATTTAGGGATTTTCCAGATATCTTTCTGGATTGACTTCTAGTTTAATTCTAGTGTATCAGAGAGTGTACTTTGAGTGATGTGAATCCTTTAAAATTTATTTAGACTTGTTTCATGTACCAGAGTATAGTCTATCTTGGTAAATGTTTTGTGTGCTTTTCAAAAAAATGTATATTCCACTGTTGCTGGATTGAGGGTTCAAATGTCAAGTAGAATGAGTTGGTTGATAGTATTGTTCAAATCATCTGTATCCTTACTGGTTTTCTGTCTGCTTGTTTTATTAATTATTGAGAAGGGGGTATTTGAAATCTCCACCTATAAATATGGACTTCCCTGTTTATTCTTGCAGTTTTATCAGATTTTACTTACATATTTTTAACTTCTGTTAATATGTGCATACAAACTTTTGGTTGTTATGACCTCTTAATGAATTGTGCCCTTTATCATTATAAAATGTCCCTCTTTTCCTCCAGTAATATTTGTTGCCCCAAGTGTCTTTTGTTATTGACATAACTACCCCAGCTTTCTTGTGACTACTGTTTGCACGTTATGTAGCCTTTTCCACACTTACATTTTCAACCTATTATCTCTTCATATCTGAAATGCATTTCTCATAGGTAGCATACAGGAGTCTCGCTTTTTTATTGAATCTGACAATTTCTACCTTTTAATATAAGTATTCAGACTACACATATTCAATGTGATTATTCACATGGTGTGGTCCAAAGTGCTATTTTTTCTGTATGTTCTCTATTCAATCCATCTCTTCTTTGTTCTCCTTCTCATTTTATTTGCTTTCTTTTGAATTTACTGAACATTTGAAATGATTCCACTTTATATCCTTTGCTAGCTTTTTAACTGTAATTCTTTGTTATTTAGTGATCGCTTTAGGATTTATACTATACATCTTTAAGTTGTCACAGTCTACTTTTAAGTGATATTATACCACTTCATGTCTAGAATAAGAACCTTACAATAGATTACTTTCATTTCTCCGATCCTGACCTTCGCTCTATTGTTGTCAAACATTTTAATTTTGCATATATTATAACCCACACATTACATTGTTGTTACTTTTGCTTTAACAGTCAATTAGCTTTTAAAGAGATTTAGATAAGAGAGGGAAACCATGTATTTATTCACATAGTTGTCATTTCTAAAGCTCTTTATTCTCTTATGTATATCCTTTGTGGGTCTGCTTCAGGTAAATTCTTTCAGCTTTTTTAAGTCTGAGAAAGTCTTTATTTTTCTTTTGTCTGAGAATGATACTCTGGTTGGGCGTGTAACTCTAGGTTGGCAGCTTTCAGTACTTTTAAAATGTTGCTTTATTGACTTCTCACATGTATTATTTCCAAGAAATCTGCCGTCATTTTTATCTTTGTTCCTCTACAGGTAACATATTTTTTTCCTCTGGCTGTTTTCAAGGTTTTTCTCATCATCACTGGTTTTGAACAGTTTGATTATTATATGCCTTAGTGTAATTTTCTTCATGTTTCTTGTGCTTGGGGATCATGGAGCTTCTTGGATTTGTGGGTTTATTGTTTTCATTAAATTTGGGAAAGTATTGACATTTATTTCTTAAGATATTTTATCTGTACCACCCTCTGTGTCTTCCACTTTGGGGACTGCAATTACACACATATTAGGACACTTGAAGTTGTCCTAAAGCTCTTTTTTCTATCTACTTTTTGTTTGTTAGTTTGTTTCTTTTAAAAGTTCCTGTCTGTCCTTCATTTTGGGCCACTTCTTTGCTATGTCTTGAAATTCATCAATCTTTCCTTCTGCAGTGTCTAATTTGCTATTAATCCCACCCAGTGCATTTTTCATCTCACAAAAGGCAGTTTTTACCTCTAAAGATTCAATGTATATCTTTTAAAAATATATTCCATGTCTCTAACTTTTTGAACATTGGAAATACCGTCATAACTGTTTTATGTCCTTTCTGTCAATTTTAGTATCTGTGTCTGTTCTGGGTTAGTTGCAGTTATCTCTTCATTATGGGTCTCATTTTCTTGCTTCTGTGCATGCCTCATTATTTTTGATTGGATGCTAGATGTTTCTATATATTTTCCCCACATTCTTAAGCATTGATTTGGGATGCAGTTATTTGGGAACAGTTTGATATTTTCCGGTCCTTGGAGATTTGTTAATGTGGGGCCCCGGCAGTTCTCAGTCTAGGGCTAAGTGTTCCCAACTATTGAAGTCAGACCCTCTGGGTACTCTACCCAATGCCCTGTAATCTTTTCCAGTCTGGCTGTTGTGAGCGCTGTGTACTGTTGCTTCTCATCTTTTCAGGTGGTTAATTCTCCAGCCTTGGGTGGTTTTCTCACATGTCTGTGCTGATCAATGCTGGGTTGAATGCTTGAAGTGACCTGCTGCAAATCTCCAGAGTTCTCCCTTCTCCAGTACTCTGTCCTGTTGCTACCGTGGTCTCCTTGGACTCACAGGTCTATCTTCTCAATTTAGAGAGTCCACCAGGCTCCCTCTGAGTTCCCTTTCTCTGAGCCGTGGCCTGAAGGCTCTCTCAAGGCAGTAAGCGGGGAAACAAGTAGTGCTCACCTCATGTATTCCCCACCTCTCAGGGATTGCTGTCTTTTGCTGTTTGATATCTAGTGTCTTGAAGAAGTTGTTTTATACATTTTGTTTGTTTGGGGGTTGTCTCAGGTAAGAGGAATAATCTGGTCCCTGTTACTTCATCTAGGCCAGAAGTGGAAGTACTCATGAGCAAGTTCATGGTTTTACCATGAGAATTGAATGAGACTGGTATCTGTACAGCACCTGGCCCTTGGCAGATTCTCAGCAAATATTTGGTTCTTCCCTGTCTCTGCAACTACTTCTTCCCGATTTTATCTGATTTATCGACCAGATTCCTAGCTGAGCTTAAGGTCATGGTCTCTATGACAGTCAACCAAAGTAGACAGTCACCCATGGGCTAGGCATACTTTAACTTGATCAGTTTCAGAATTCTGCTACACCAAGGACATGTGGTTGCAAAGCTTATCCTCCTTTTATTAGACATTTACCTTCTGTGTGAAATCTTATCCAATTCAATCTATAGGAATTATTCATAGTATGAGTATTTATAGTATGAATTTCAGAAGATTTTAGAAGGTCAGTGATGTGAGATGGGCAGAATTTAAGAGGATCATGTTATTTGTTACCCTTGCATGATTTTGTGGGGGTTTCCCACCAAGTCATGAAGTTCAATCTTTTACTTCCTGCTTTTTTTCCCTCAGATTTCCCAAGGATGTATGTGAAGGACAGATGGGTTTTTGCAGAAACTTAACCATTTTTTCCTTCTCTTGTCTTCTCTCCTGTGACAGTGTCTGGAGGCCGCAGCCGCCTGCACCTCATTGATCTTGGCAGCTGTGTGAAAGCTCTTAGCAAAAATCGGGAAGGAGGCTCAGGGCTGTGCCTCTCGCTGTCCGCTCTGGGCAACGTCATCCTGGCTCTCGTCAACGGCAGCAAACACATCCCATACAAGTAAGTGACTCTTCTACTTGAAGAATGGGATAAGGTGAGTATGGTGCCAGGGCTGGGTGTGAGACTCTCGGTCCAGTGACATCTGTGGAGAGTTGTGCAAAGATGGACAGTCTGGACCACGTTGTTCTGTGCCAGAAACCAGCCTTCACTAACAGTTATGTAATGCCTGATCTAAATTCAAAAACTATGGAAATGCTTAAATTTACTCCAATCCCACCATTGGGCAGCTCAAGGAGGAAATCATAAGAATTTATCTCTGTTGCGGTCTCTAATCATAATTGCCATTGGTGGCTTATTGTCACCATTGTACAGATGCTTTCTAGTGATGAGAGCAAGGAACAGAAGATTGAGTTACCCTTCCCTTAAGGATAGGGCTGCCAGCTTTAACCAATAAAACTGTAAGATACCCAGTTAAACTTGAATTTCAGAAAAACAGCATATATTTTTGGTATAAGTATGCCCCAATGTTGCATGAGCTATATGGGCATCCTGTATTTTATCTGGTAACCCTATTTAGGAGAACTTACAAAGCATGGGGAATTACCACCCACCATCCCATGCAAATGTTTATTCCACTTCCAGGATCCTTTCTCTCTTTCTGTTACGGCTCCAACAAGAAGAAATTAGAACTGCTCCTATGTCTAGAATAGCCAAAGACTTGACACATCACCCATGCCCATGAATGACATAGCCCTAGAGCCACCCTTCACCAGCATCATCCCAACCCAACTTTGCCACCGAATCATGAGGTGATGGGGTGATGGGTACTCTCCTGTTTGGCCTCCTGCCAAGGTCCAGCTGCTCCTCTCACTAGCCATCTGAACCTCCACGTCTCATAAACTAAGGGATATAGCTATATATCTTACCTACATCACAAGGATATAGAACTCAGAATGATATGAGTGTGCAAATTTTTCATAAAATGTGTAACACTATAGCCAATAACCAATAATCATAATCTGGTTGAGTCTGTCCTCACTTATTTAAATGGAAATAACACCTACCTTACAGAGCTTCTGTGAGAATTAAGCAAATATACAGTACACGGAATCATTTTTTTAAATCTGTAAAATCCTACAAAATATAAGTTTTCCGTAGAAGGGAAAAGGTAAGTCAGGCAGTTTGTCCTACAACAGTTGAAATTCAGGACATGTCCCTGAGTTCTCCTTTCCCTCTGTCATAAGTTGATGCCAATATTGTAATTTTTTTCTCCACCTGGAAGCCCATTGCTAGACTGACTTTAGGAGCTTAAACAAAGATTATAATCCTGTCTATCTTAATTCTTGACATTTGAAATCCTAGTTGGATAAACTCAGAAATGTCCTTTCCAGCCCTTGTGAAGGTTCTTTTCTATGAGAAAAAATTCAAGTTAAAAATTCATGAAGTTTCATTCAGTATCACTTCAGCAGTTGAATAAAGTCAGCTTGTGATTGCGAGAAGGAAAGAAGGAAGGAAGGAAGGAAGGGGAAGGGGAGGGAAGGAAAGAAGAAAGGAAGGGGAGGGAGGGAAAAAAGAAAAGTCTGGAGAAGTACTGTCAGGGTTGGAGACCTTAGAAAGGAAGGAAGGAGTTATTGGCCCCCTGGCCTCCCTGTCCATGAAAAGGGAAACATGTCTATTAATGTGATCATAGATCATGATGTAGATGAAAGTCAAAACACTACCTTATGAGGTCACTGATGGTATATCTTACTTATATATCTCTCCTGTTGTTTCTCTAGAGTGATATGCTTTTATGATTTCAATAAATATTTGTTGAAATGATGGTGGGAGGGCTGAATAACTGTAAGCATATGAAATTACTTTTACTTTAGATAAAGTAACTTCCTTTTGGTTAGAGTTGGGTTTTATTATAAACATATAGGGAAACATTAAGAATTGTTTGTATTAATAGCTCTTGTTAAATTCAACATATCTAACATCAGCTGGCCACGATGACTAGCCACCTGCCCCCTTGGGAGGGCTGACGAAATGCGAAACCTCCACTCACTGTTCTCTGGGGACATCTGTCTGCTTCAGTTCCCCTCTTTTCTGGCTCTGAGGGAGCGATGATTAAAGGATGCTTGTGTCTGAAATCGGCACAGACTTAACCTCAATGTAGTGCCTACACATGACACAGGCATCGTGTTGTCCCTGACCATCAGGATCCTCCTGCGGTCTTGGTGCCAGGAAATATGGTGGCCTGGCCATACAGCCAGCTCTGTCCTGCCCAGAACACTCGTTTGCCAAGGCCCTTGTACAGCCAGGTCTGTCATCCCTCAGGCATTCATACCCATCATTCTGCACATGCTTTCAAAGGCCCTTGCTGTAGTATTGTTTCAGGTTCTCAGACACCGCATGTATTCAATATTCGGTTCTGCAAATACATTTGCAAAGTGATTAATCAACTAGAAACTATCCTATTTCAAGGTACAGGAAGATAAGGCAGAGATTTCCTGAAGTTCCCCAGCCAGTTGGTGGCAGGATCAAACCACACCTCTTTCCACAGCTTGGAGACCTTGGCAGTTCGTTTCTAATCCACTCCCCTAACCTCATCAAGCTCTGTAATATATTAGCTGCCTTTGCTCTGCACAGCATGAGGGCTTCAGCACAGCAGGGTGGCCCAGATTTCTTTTATCAATTCAGTCAGTGCTCCAAAGCTGCATCACACAGCATTTTGTTAGCATACTAAACACCTTCTGCATGTCAAGCCTTGTCTTTGCGATAGATTCCTGAGACAGGGGAGGTTTCCTGCCCTTACAGTTTCCTTTTATTCCTGTTCACTTACAGGAGAAAACGGAAAACCAAACTCCACATTTGTTACCCTCCCCCACCCCTCCAAAACATGAAAAACCCTCTCCATTTTTCACCCTGGACAACTCTGTGCTTCGAACTGGCATTGCTTGTGTTTGCTTCTGGGAAATTAACTGAAATGTGCACAGAGGGGATATAGCCTTTCCACAGTGCTCTCCATCATTGTGCCAGACTCTCTGTCACGTGACCAAGTCCAAAGTGAGTTTGGATTCATGACCCATCCCAGGCACTCCCACAGGCTCCCTAGATGTTCCCTGAGTGCTTTTGACTTTGCAGTGATATTGCTTTTGTAGATGACAGATGTAGGCACAGAACGGGGTCCCAGCCTCAGCCATGACACAGCACAGGCTTGCTGGCCAATCCAAGAGCCATAAATCAGTCCTAAATGGTGACACCATTCAGAAAAGCAAGCGGGGACAGCAGGGAGACCATCAAGGGCTTGAAGCCCCTACTCAGTTCTGCACTTTCAGGCTCACAAATTACTCCCTAACTTTGGGGAACCTCATGTCAAGGGGGAATCTGTTGTAGTCCGAAGCATTTTGACAGTGCATTTGCCAGTTTCCTTCCATCGCTCATTACAGCTGTTGGCTTTTCCTCACCACTTCTTGGGCCCCAAGGTAGTCGGAGCCTTCCCATTCGATAGATGAGAAAAAAATAGGCAGAGCCATTGAAGTGAGTTCTCATGCCAAAATCAGTGTTGCAGGCACAGACCACTGGAACTGGCCCCCAGAGGAGCCACCACAAGGATCTGTCTGTGCGAACTGAGCTTCAGCTGAAGTGCTGTTACATCCCAGCTGGTCTGCAGGACTGCAGTCTTTCCAGAGACCTGGAAATGCTAACAACCACCCAGTTCTCTCAAAATAGAATTTTTGGTCCCTTTTAGATGTCTGATCAGGGGGCGCATACCCTTCACATAGTGATACATTAAGCCTGAAGCCCTTTCGCTCATTTATGACTTACTCCATTTGGAGACATAATTACGTTAATAGGTCAAATGGTCCATTTGATTATTTGCCACCAAGACACTGTACCCTGTTTCCAAACGACAGGTATTTTATAATGTCCTGACTTCCACTGAACAAGAGGTCATGGAAAGAGGGTCATTCTTTGACCCTCTCGGGCTGCATTGTCTCAGATGTTCTTCCCAAGTCACCTTGAAGTGCGGCTCTGCGTTAACAGTCCCACGGTGGGAGTGGTGCTTGGTGACTTTCTTTTATGGGTTTAGTCTGGGGTTCAGACCAAGACCTAATCCTCGTGTGTCAAATCCGTCACTGACACGCTCTGGGCTCAGGCAGCTGCCTTCGTCCTGCCCTCCTTCCCTCGGTGGTAAATCTACCAGGAGAAGCGGGTGGCGTCTGAGGCAGTCTGTTGTCACGAGCTTCAAGCACCACCACGGGGGCCACTTCTAGATGTGATAAGGACGCCCATCATCAGGGTCTGGAATGGGAGCACTTCTCCTTCTAAGGCGCTGGTGAAGGGTCAGGAACCAAGGTCCTGTTTAAGACAGTAGCAGCAGAAGAGCACAGCACTTCATTCAAAGGAGCATAGAAACACTAATTCCAGTTGGTGACTTGTGGAGAAATGACATTTTATAAATAGAAGCAGGTTTTTCAAAATGTTACTACCTCTGATCTGTGAGGGAGTGTCATGCTGGAACCTGCGGGCAGTACCCACGATGGCAGCCTAAGATTCCTAAGGCCTTTACAGGACCAGCATCTCTGAAGCATGCGGACATTCCTTGCCCTTGCTTTGAGAAATATTTTCTCCCAATAGCCATTTAGATATTGGATTTGTCTCCACTTTCCCAGAACTGGAAACCCACTCAATGTCTGGGAAGCTAGAGAAACGAGCTCATGACTGGTATCAGCTACAATGCTCCGTGCCCCTGACTCACACAGGAGAGTTTTGTTCCTCTGGACTCAAAGGCATGTTATTTACAACTTGAAGTTCAATAAATATTTTCCAGAAAAAATACAAAGGAATATCAATTCCCCAGATTTACTTAAGCTAGCGTGTGATGGAGAGTGTGGTGGGTCTGTATGAGAATCTTCGTGTGTGTACGTGAGATACGATGGAGACACACCAGTGTGCATATTTAACAACCTTTAAATGTACATTAATGCTGGATTATCTCCTCCTGATTTACAGGGAGAACATCAATTTAAAACTATTTGCACAAACTCCAGATACCAGTTTACAGCGTTCCCTGT